TTATTTTTGGGGGGGAAGGCCTAGAAAGGGGGAGGTGAGGCTGGTGCAGGGCAAAACCGGCGACTTCACTGAACCCTTCTCTCGCTTGGCTTCTTCTCTGGGTGGGAGAGGACCCCAGGTCTGGTGGTGCTGGTGGCATCAGGAACCTCATGGGCGTGAGGAGCAGCCGCTGGGCTGGGAGCTGTGCTCCCCGGGCTCTCCCCCCGCCGCCCCTCTCCGAGCTGTTAAATATCTGTACCATAAAACGTGGGGGATTTAAAGGTCTGTGGGAGGCTCCCTTTGAAAAGGACTCTGGGGAAAGTCTTTCTAATCCAGGATACTTGAGCCGGATGGGGTGGGATTGCCAGAAGAGGCATAAAATAAAAGTCGTTGCGCAGACGAGCCGAGGGGCTACGCTGACACGAAGAAAGCGCCGTCGCCTCAGCGTTCTGTTTTGTTTTGTTGGAGACTGGGATTTCTGGTGTGCTGGTGCCTGTGTGGAGAGTCCTGAGCCCGGCAGGAGAGTGGCAGAAATAGAGAGGGCTGGGGGGGACGGTGGGGACAGGCATGTGAGCCAACCTGCAGCCCCCCGGCCCGGGCGGCCTGAGCACCAGTGGGCAGAGAGAGCACGTCAGAAAAATAAACGCTCCTCCAGAAACATAAGGAAAACATTAAATAAGCAGGGAGTGCGCTCCCTCTCCTCTCCTCTCCTCTCCTCTCCTCTCCTCTCCCTGACAAAACGTGGCCCAGAAACTCCTCCGGCTCCTTCTCCGGCCCCGTGTCCCGGCCGCCGTGGGGATGCGTGGGGCAGGCGTGTTGGGAGATGGCCATGGGTCGCCCAAGAGCCCCGGCTAAAGCCCCCCGTGGAGGGTTTGCCAGCCCAGGGCCAGCAGTGGGGCAGGGCAGGGCAGGAGGAGAGCCCCACCGGGGGGAGAGGCTGCTGGATGGCCGTGGGAGAGGGGCAGAGGGGAGAAAACAAAAGCTGCTCCTTGGCTGGAGAGGGGATGGGAGAAGAGGGAAGGCGAGAGGATGCTGGAGAGCCTGGTTACCCTCCATTGAGGGGGGGGAAACACCCCACAACAATAACAACCCGAACCCATAAACAGTTTCTGCCTTTCCGCGATAAAAGGAGCAGATTTATGTTGCAAGGAGCCCGTTCCAGCTCAAAACCCCGGGCTGCAGCACTGTGTTTGTGTGGCTCATCCCCATGAGGTATGGGTGGCAGAGTTCAGGCTGACATCAGTCCTGGGGAGTCAGAGCCAGCGGCCGGGCTGGGCTGCCCATGGGCCAGTGGCCGGGGGGCTACCAGCATGGGGGGCACCCGGCTGGTAAAATACCCCGCCTCTGGCCACTCCCGGGGCCGTGAGGAGCCGACAGCAGCACACACGGCTGAGGGAGCTGGATGTGGGATTTCCCTGCAACTGAGACAGATGGATCAGGAACGGCTCCCGGGGGGGACCCCCCCCTCTATTTGGGGGCTTTCCAAAGAGGGTGGGGAGGGGGGAGATGGCCGGTGGTAGGTCTTGCTGCTGGGAATTCAAAGATGTCCGAGCCCTCTGTTTCACCAAACGGCGTTAAAACCAGCAGCAGGAGACGGTAAAATCAGCTAGGTGGTGATTTTCATTTTTTTTATTTTTAATTTAAAAAAATAAACTGACCGAAGAGGAATAGTGTGTGGTGGTTTCACTCTTGCGATTCCCGCCCCGCGGCTCCTCTCTGCAGCTCTGCACAGCTAGAAATTGTGCATTTCAGCTCTCAGAACAGCGAGCAAATTGGGGAAAAAAGGAGGTGGGCTCGAGGTGCTCAGATTATATCCAAAATAAAATAACAATATTAAGTTAATAGCTGACATTATGCTTGCTTAAAGTGGCACTCTGGTCATAGAGACTAGCCATGTGGACAGGACAGCTGAAGGCTGACCCTTTGTCATTCTGCTCTAGACTGGAAATAGTTTGTGTAAGTGAACAAAAGGGTCACTAATTTGCCTTTTCAACTGGGGAAATACAGTAAAGAAATAAAGGCCTTGGATTACCTCTGATACATAACTTGAAAACGAAGCCTGCTGCATCCGATACGTACCCCTGTTTTCCAGGTGCCACTTTGGGGGGGTGGGTGGCATTGATCTGTCCCCCCCAGCCCGGAGGGACCCACGGAGCATCCCCAGGGGCAGTGATGGCCGCCGAGGGGAGAAGGGCTGGGGGCCTGGAGCGGTCACCCCGAGTAAAGGTTGCACAATCCCACACATCCACTATTTGTTAAACACCAATAATATTCTTGGCACCGCACAGGACTCCAGATCACAACAGTCTTTGCCCCAGATTTTTTTTTTCTTTTTTTTTTTTTAAAATTTTATTACTGTACAAACTAAGGAGCAGGCAAGGAGTGGGCAAGGCCTGCAGAGGGGCACAGAGATACAAGAAATCGCACCAAACACACGGGCACACACAGATATCTATCTCTGTATTACTACTCTTTTTTGCATTTCCAGATGTGGCAGCTGTGACCTCTCTCCCTGTCCCCTGCCATAGCCCATTTGTGCTTTGCTCCTGCTCAGTTTGGGAGGGTGATAACCTGTAACACCACCAGCAGGCTCAAAAGCTGCTAATAGCCCAAACAGCAGATTACAGTTGCGCAGTCTAAATAAACCCAAGGCAGTGAGGGGTGAGAAATGCTTTACTTACAATGAGTTAAAACATTTTTTTTTCAAAAACAAACTGTTTCCCAAAGATCCCGTCCTGGTATCCTTGATACTGTCTTTATTTCAAAGACGTGATGGCAGCACACTGACAGTACGAGCAGCAGGGAACAATCCTACGCTGGCAGCAAACGGACAAGATGACCTAATTGATTTTTCCCATCTCCGACTTGTGCAATTCTGTCATTGTAATAAAATCCCAGGGTAATCAAAGCCTGCAGGATCAGGCCCTAAATTAGCATGTGGGCCTGGCCTGTCCCTCCGCCTGGGCCAGGCTCAGAGCCTGCTGCTGTCAGCCTGACCCTTCGGCCGCCCGGGAGAGGTTTGGATCTGGATCACACTGGGAGAGAGCTGAAATGTTGTTTTATTGTACGTAGAGGGGAAAAAAAAAATTAAAAAAAAAAAAGCCTATTTGTGCGAGAAACACATGGGCAAATTCTGCAGCACAAGCCTTCCAGATGCAGCTCGGCTGAGAAAGCCCAACAGGAAGGCCTCAAAATGAAACTGAGAACTTTTTGGCAGGGAGGAAATTTTAGCAGTTAATACAGGGATGATCAAACCTCGCTAAGTCATTGTTTCCCTCTAGTCATCTATCAGTTCTTCGTCTCTTGGACTAGCCATCAGATTGTAAAACTTTTGGGATGCAGACCAACTTCTCGCTCTGTGTTTGCAGAATCCCTGTCTCGAGCAGCTCTATCTACAGGGGAAGACAAAAGTCTCCACATTGCCATGGAAGTATCTGTGTATTTTGGGTGTAAATACTCAACCTAGAACGGAAGTGATTAACATAAGTGATTTTGTAATGTGTGCTAAGTTAAAAAAAAGAACAAAAGGCTTTTGGTCTAGCCTGACTTCAACCTCCCAGGAGGCAGAACCATGATAATTACGCTGGTTTAACGTCACACATCAGTTTGTGCAGTGCCCCTAAGGTAGGACTGTAACGGGGTAAAGGCAGAGGATGTGAGTAACCAGCAACAAAGGCTTCACAGGACTCTGACACATCCATTTGTCCAGGCACCCACTTCTCCATGACCTGGGCATTGGGGAGGGTGACTCACAACACCTAAGTTGGGAGCTGTTTTCTCACTTTGGTGGTGTTTCCCATGAATTTCTTTGGGGTGGTAGCTTCAGCCTGAGGAGGTCTCACTTGCTCATTCCCACTTCCTGGGCCATGCTGGCCCAAGCATTAGCAGTCACACACTGGGGCAGGGAAACATTAAGCTGAAAAAAATGAAATCTTGCCAAAAAAAAAAAAGAAGTTTCTTTCCAGCAGACTCAGTTCCCAGATATGGTTCACCATGAGGAAACAGGAAA